GATCCTGATTATCGTTTTATAGAGACCATTTAGTCCCTGTTAAGTAAAAGGTAGCAATAATTTTGACAGTGACACGAAAACGAAGCGTCGGACAAACAGGAAATGACACAGCCCTTACACACTGCTAACTGTTTTCATTTTCGAAGGCTAAAAGTTTCTGAATTGTTTGGTGGTTTGTGTTGAATGTCGAATTCACACCTCTGTTCTTTTTTTACCTCCATGCTTGATCTGCGTAATAATTTCTGAAATAAGAATCCGGGCTTGGTCAATGTGTTTCCACCAAATAAAGTTTTAATGTGATGTTATAATTATGACAATCACGCCATGGACCACGCTAACTCGAATCCACTCTGAATTTATCTGTATGTGTGTCGATCTCGATTATTTTTGTTATCCAATTAAACGCCGCTTTTAACGCACCTGCCCTCGTCGTGACCCGACGCGTTCACCTATTTCAACAAAATTTCAATTTATTTCCACGCGGCTGTCATTTATTTAGTAACTGTGATTTGTCGTTTTTAAATTATTTTATAGTGATCACTATCATGGTCTAATGTTTAGAATGTCAAAATATGTTCTCTTTTATTTTAATTTTGAAAGTTTTACTCAGACGATCGATGAAATAAAACAGTGTAGTGACGTGCCTAGTAACCTATTTTGTCCAACGACAGTGTACAAACGTGCGCCGCTGACGATCACGGTGACCAGCTACACCAGAACGAACATATTTCGCATCTAACTCAACCCCATACAACAAAAATTGATACTATGTGTTCATTATGGTCCATTCCTCCTCGACGAACAAGTACATAAGTGAAAATTTAGTCAAAGACGAGAAAACTGCAGAAGAAATTTGCCTTATTTACACGTATCGGCAATGCAAGCTGCAATGCGACTTCCCCTTCTGACGTCACAAGGGGAATTTCTGTATGCAAATAAGAAGCTAATGAGGAGCCTCGTTTTAAAATACACAAAAATAAAGTTGCCGTAGATTGAGTTTAAAACACATTTTTTCACGTAAAAAAATAATTCATGCTTAGAAACATAAAAAATAATAATATTTATGTATCAATGGATAATTTTAGGCGTGAAAATAGCCATTTCACAGGCACTTTAAAGCGGGAGAGTCGTCACCTGCGCATGCGTCGGATGGCTAAAGCGTGTTAATGTTTACAAACAAGCGTTACCCATGAGCCTTTGCGTTTTAGCGTGTGTTGTTATCATCGTTTGGGACTCAATCCCGCGCGTGCGCAGGTGTCGACCCTCCCGCTTTTACGACGCATCCAAAGCAGTATTAGAATCAGTATGACGTGACGTTAGGGCATCCAATTTGTATCCCACACGGATAACTCGAGAACACCGTTACTACAGAATATACCACCTAAATGGATAAAGTGTCACCATGTGTGGCTGCACGCAAAACACGTTTGAGATGCAAACTGTGAAAAGAACCCGATTCACAGTAAAAAACAGGTTCCGTGCAGAGTTATTTCTTCAGATTGTTTACACTATTCCTTTGATTAAATTTGTTTTAAGTATGGCGTAGATAAAATAAATTTGTGCCATGTCACATTTAACATTAAAGTAGTTGTTTTGATAGTATTTTTTTTATATTAAAACAAATGTTTCCGACATCATATTACAACTGCTCCACAATAATAACTTCCCATGACTTTCTGTCATTTCTCAATATTCGGGGCTTTTCCTTTTACGTCGAAAAAAAAAACGAACAAGCAAGTTCAAGAGACTCCGTGGTTTAAAAAGAAATATATTCATAATCACTAAGAAGAAT